AAATTTACTCAACATAGCTGTACAAAATTGGGAAACCGGCAACAAATACGTCTAACAACAGACGGTCAAAATTGACGAAAGATTTGTGCAAAATTGGATGGGAGAAAACAAAAATGGCAACGAATAAAGGAGATAATGTTCATAACGTGACACATCAAGATGGGGAACTAACACTAAGGGGCCTATGTACAATAAAAACTAGCGGTATTCCGCGACCTATAAAGTTCTTTGTCATGTCATGACCGATGTTTCTAAAGACACTCATGAATTTGTGTTCCGTAGATATCTCAAGTCTAATCCCAGAGATGGCAACTGCGTGACATTTTTACCAACTCTTTATCCGTTTATCTAAGATGCACAAGAAATTTTTGAAATGACCTCCAGGACGCGCAAAGCGCCCGAAAAGCATTTAGAATCACTTGCTCTCAGTAATCCGAACCCTCTCGAAATCCGTTCCTAGAATCTTAATTCATCAGTCCCATCCAAAGAAGGTCACGAAATTCATTTCCTTGTTAAACGAAAACGAAATCTCCCCCATCGAGAAGGTCAAAATGTGGAATTTTACAATGAATTCTTTGCAACACATCCTACTGCCGAGTTCGAACCGGTTCATTTCTTTCGTCTGCTTTAAGATAAAACACTCGATACAATCGATATATCCTCAGAACTCACCATGAAATATCATTCGTTAAAAGACCTACACTACTAGAGAACGGGTGGGATTCGGAATTCGATTTTTAAACAGACACCCGACTTTCTCATATTTCCTAGCCATTTGTTCTCGGTCCATTCTCCAAGCGAACTTTCTAAAACCATGGTATACCTCATTTATCCTTTCATTTTCTAAGACTGGGCCTTGACTCGAAGTTTATAACTATCGGATCGTTCAAAAAACCCAGCCTCTAGCTCCAGTCATTATGGATCTTTACCCGAAAAATCCCGAGAGATCTGTCCCTTAGCCTTTTTTAATCCATTTAATGAACATTAGTCAGTGGTAGTTATTTACTTTGGTCTTAGAAATCCTTCGACGTCTTTTGGCAAAATTAGAAGCCTTTACCAGTCGGACTCCTTCCCGAGACTTTATAGTGTTCCATTTATCCAACCGCTGTCAGAAAGTCACATGGCTGCTGACAGCTACACGATGCCTCACTCGGACACGAGCGGTGTCCTTCAAAGTACGGTTCTGGGTCCGCTATTTTTTCTTCTTTTTATCAATGATCACTCGATAGAAGTTAGAAATTCAGAAAGGTTTATTTGAGCTGATGATCGCGAATGTGTCTAGTTATATTCTAAGGACACCGCAAATGTTGGTATTTAAAAGTTAATAACAATTTGCAAAGAAGACGAACGCGTGATCACTAGGACAGTAAGTGTACTAGTCTGAGCTTTCGTCTTGTACAGGAGGCCATTGTCAGGGACTGTAAGAATGCGGTGTCAAATGAGCAGTCTTGTAGTCAACAAAAGAAGCGGGGGTGGGAGTGCCGGGGGTGGTTGTCGCGATAGGGCTGAGTCCACGCCGTCTCACGACGGCGTGACTGCGGGCACCCTTGGCAGGGAATCGAGTCTCGCCTCTTGTTCGCGAGAACGGAGCGCGTGATAGCGGGTATGACAACCTGTATGTTGATGGAGCTGCTGTCAGACACCGAGGCCTTCAGGAGTTTTCGTCCTGTCGTATTGCTGGCCCGCGCCATTATCCGCTTGCTCGCGAAGTGGAATTCGTGGCCTTCCTCCAGGGTGTAAGTAGCGACCTGAGAAAGTAGGTCGCCTCGCCGGACTGCCCGTTTATACTGCTTTATTCGCGAGCTAAGCCGTGGTCCGATCTGTCCAGTATAATGGCAAGGACAGTCCCAGCATGGGATCTGATAAACGGAACCTGATTGTTCTCCTACTTCTAGTCGGTCCGTCATCTGCATTAATGTTTTTCGCGTGGTCACTGACGGACAGTGAGCGATACCCAGGTCGAGCTCTCCAGCTATACGTTCCGTTGGTTTGAACACATTCTTTATAAATGGTAGAGGGTGCCGGCACACTCAACGGGACCCGGCCATATTTTCAAATTTCAAGAGGCCGAAATCCTCGCAAGGGGTGACAACCGCGTGAGCCGCGAGCTGCTCGAGTCATGGTTCTCAGGCCCGCAATCCATCAACAAGCACAATGACCACCCGGTACCCTATAGCGTACTGCGCTTTTCCCTGGGCAGGAGAATCAGTCACGTGGGGAGGGCGCGGGCGAGCAATCATCACGGTGACAGTGAGCCAGTTTGCCGAGCAATCGTCACACCAGCATCCAGCACGGATGACGAAATCGCGGCAAGTACCGACTCGGACTCGGACCGACAAGCCACCACCGCATCAATTACGGCCCCAGCGGTGATTACGAGAACTGTTAATTGCAGTACGCATGCGGTCCCACGGCAGCCACGTGCTATAAATACTGCACTCCTGGTGCCAAAATCACCTTTATCTGCTAATGTCTCTGATGATGGATTCGAGTAAGGATCCGAAACGTCAGGCAAATAAATTTCTTGTTCCGGTGATCGCATCTTCATCTTCTGAACTGCTACCTGGAACTCGCCTGTTCGCTTCTATCAGGGTTCCGGTGTGTTAGCAGCCCTCCTCCACTATGTCTTTTTGCACTGCCAAGCTTCCTGGATCCATTATTTTTTAAAATAACCCTTTCTTGGACAACCTATTCATAGAAGACTTAGGCCTGTGTTATATAAATATAGTCAAGTTGAAAGGTAGAATTTGGGTTCAGGTTTGTTTTCAAATGTCAAATTAAACTTGCAAAACGTGTGATGAAAATTTATGCAACTTTTTTGTTTTGAGGCCCCTTATCTCAATGAATGAAGTGATTGAATTCCATTATTGCGAGTGAATTAATAACTTTATCTAGGAAGGAACAAATACATTTGCCCTAAGGCCGTTTCCGATTCACGTAACCCTCAAAATTTCCAACTGGAATACGGAAAGATTTGATTCAAACATTGTTGGAATTTCGAGAGTTAATTTTCCTGAAATACTGTCCCTTATCACATTGTCGTCATGGTCCTGTCCAGCCAGTTGTCTTGGACTCACTTCAAGAAGACATATGAAGAAAATCCACATGATTCAGAATCCAGTATACGGAGAGTTGGTTCATTGTGAAGTTGAGCGATAACATTTAATGCAGGATGGGGAACTATATTTTAGTTCCTAACGTATTTGTATGACTTTGATGCGCAGTATACATTTGGCAGTGTCGATGGTTAACCCGAAATGAAGGTTACCTTTTGCAATTTAATGAGGCATATCTAAAGTGGCTATACCGTGAACTAGGATATTATGTTACTGCGCAAAATTGCAAACCCATTCACGGACCGGCAATACGAATTAATCATTTGAGTTTAAAGATGATCCTTGTGTTATAAAATTAGTCAAGCAGTATTAATAACTTCCTAAATACTAACTTTGTACGCGGGTGTTTTTAAAAGCGGGTGGGCGGCATTTTGCATAAAACAAAAATAACTATAATTTTTAAATGCTTAGAGTGACAACCGTCGGCCATCGTGCCAAAGAAATAGAACGAATACTTACAGTCAACATGCTTAATGTCTTTTTTCCATGTTCCATCAGAAACAGTTAATGTTGTGACGACTCTCCGCATATTTCTGCATATACAGTCAAGATTAGCCGAAATGCTTACAGTTTACGGCAAAACGACAAAATATTTTGAAAAGCCAAATTGACAAAAACGTGGTTCCGGTAATTCTTCGTCAGGCCACTACAGTTACATTGAGGAATGAAATTGTGCAAAAGCAACAGTGTTTATAGGTGTCTCAAGGGATATTAAGTCATTAACACCCATCTTCTCCACGCCGCCCGCATGACAAGGTTGGCGGGTTTTGTTCCTCAGAGCTAGGGGAGGGGGTGAAAGAGTTTTTGAGTGATGTCCTTGGATTTAGTACACGGCGTACCCATCACTGTCACTGGGGCTTCGAGGCGGTATGTGACGAAACTAGAGAAAATATTGTCGGATCGTTCCAGGTTTTCGAAGTCCGAGAAAGATGAGGATCACACAGGGGCTGTCGTGGGTCAGTTCAGCTCAGTTTATTGAGGGAAATGTAGGTCTTCACCTTTGAACTCCCTATTTGTTTACAAGCAACTGTAAAATCTCAAAAACACGAAAGGGTATCATAAAGGAACAAATAATCGGAAAAGAGTCAGGTCAGTACAGACAAACAAACTGTCTCGAATTTTAGTGGTACGAGCAGTTGTAGAGCTGTCGTTTCGAGTGCAGCGAAATAAATAATATATCCGGTGACAAAATTTGCATATGTGCATGTCAGTAAGCGTAGGCGATGGGTTGGGACAATAAGAAATTCAATGTTACTGAAATATAGCAAGTAGTATTATAATAACGGAATTTGTCGAGGTTACAGAGATCGGGGTTGTAATTTAGTGGACACTGCTACACAAATCCAGCCTCCTCTTAAAGACCACGACGGAAGCAGACATAACGACATCCACAGGCAGAGCATTCCATGCTTCTAGCACTCTGTTGGAGAAGAAGAACTATCATGTGTCCAGTCTGGCCCCTGTCACACGTAGTTTGAATGGATGGCCTCGTAGATTTGTGGTGGTTGCTAACTCGAAGGAGTCACCCGGTACGAGGCTGCAGTCCTGACCGCGTATGATACGGAAGGCTTGTATCAGGTCACTCCGTAACTGCCTGTAACTCAAGGGAAAGAGGTCAAGGTCAGCTAAGTGCGTTGCATATGTTAGTGAACCCTGTCCTGCCACAGGTTTCGTTGCACGCCTTTGAACCCTTTCAAGGATGGTGAGGTCCTTCGCGTTCCAGGGTCTCCAAGCTTGGATAGCAAATTCTAGTTGTGGACGCACAAAAGTTCGAAAGACTTTAGCGAAACAGTCTTCATCAAAGGCAGAGAAAGCCCGCTTGACAAGGTAGAGGACTGACATTGCAGACTTGGCTATCTTCGTGCAGTGCAGCGAGGGTTTGAGCTAGGTCGTAATCCATACTCCCAAGTCCTTCTGCGAGTCCACTTCTTGCAGTGGTATACCATTTAGGCAGTAGGCCATATGGTTCGGAGAGCGAGCTTTGCCGACTCGTAGAACATTGCACTTTTTCTCGTTGAACGGCAGAAGCCAGGCCTTTGACCACTGTAGGAGTCGGTTTAGGTTCGCCTGCAAATGCTCTTCGTCATCTGCAGTTCGAATGACGCTCCAGAGCTTAATGTTATCCGCAAACATGGCGACACTACAATCCAGTTCACTCACGCAATCGTTGACGTAAATGATGAACAAAGTAGGACCAAGAACTGAGCCTTGGGGAACACCGCTTTCAACGGCAACCTTCGTCGACTTCTGGCCACCGACATGGACAGTTTGACAACGGTCTAATAGGAAGATTTGAATCCATTTTAAGAGGTTACCCCTAACGCCTGTTCGGCTCAGTTTGTGCAGGAGTCGCTGATGTGGGACACTATCAAATGCCTTTTTAAAGTCGATATAGACTACATGCAGCGCATTGCCTTCATCAACTGACCGAGTCCAACGTTCCAAACACTTGAGCAAGTTAGTCACGCAAGACCTGCCACTACGAAAGCCATGCTGCGCATCAGATAATAAATTATGCTGCTCTAGGAAGCGCATCAGCTCTCGCTTGATTATTTTCTCCATGAGTTTGCAGCAGATGGAGGTGAGGCTAATTGGCCTGTAATTGTTTGCAGACGCCTTGCTGCCTCCTTTATGCAGTGGTGTGATCCGCGCAGATTTCCAGTCGGCGGGCAAGCAGCCGGCTTCGAACGAGGCTCGGAAAAGCATGGACAATGTTTTGGCTAATTCGGCAGCGAGCTCCTTCAGTAACTTAGGCGGTGTGTCGTCTGGACTTGGTGATTTCGACTCATTTAGCGTCATTAGCTCTTTTCGAACCGTCGCTTCATCAAAAGATACAGACTCAATTTTTGGACCCTCATCGAAGTCGTAGTCAGGAGGAGTAAATGGACTTTCACTAGTAAAGATGGATTTGAAAAATTGTGAAAAGTGCTCAGCTTTTTCTCCATCCTCACTAATCTCTACGTCTCCGCTTGTCTTCAGGATTGGGATTGGATCTCTGTTTCGTGTGCTGCTTCTTATGTAGCTGTAGAATAATTTTGGATTTTCCAGAGCACGATTTAGTAGGTCATTTTCAAAATTGTGTCGTGTCCTGAGGGTCAGTCGCTTGACTAAGTTCTTCTGTGTTTTGTATGCGTTTATGGATACAGGAGTCCCATCAGTAAGAGATTTCTGCCACAATCTGCGTTTTTTATTTATTTCCTTTTTAACGCCTGGGTCAGCCACCGGGGTCGATTGTTTAGCCCCTTCCGTGAAAGCGGGCAGTGGTTTGTCAGGAGAACATGCAATAATTCACTGAACCATTTCCAATCCTCCTCTATATTTCCGGAAAACGCTGATTCCCAGTCCGTATTGTTGATTTCGACCTTCATTTGATCGAAGTCCCCGCGCCAAGTATTTCTTCTAATTTTGGTGGGCTGTTCAGGCACGGAAAAGATTGAATAGTCCCATTGAAGTACAACGTGATCGCTTCGACCTAAGGGAGGCAGACATTGTACCTCATCTATGCTGTCCATCGATTTCGTGAGCACCAGGTCCAAGCAGTTTGACTGCTGCCCCTGTTGACGGCTATTCTCAGAGATCTCTGCAAAGAAGGTCATTTGTCTAGTAAAGAGTATAAACGAATGAGGCCGGTGGGCACGACAATACGAAGGATGTACGGCCTTCCCAAAATTCACGAACAAGGGCAGCCCCTATGTCCAATCTTGGATATGAGGAATTCGCCCTATCGCACCGTTGCAAAATGGTTAGTGTATAGACTAAAGCCACTGTGAGGTCATCTGTACCCTCGATGTTTGAAAGACTCCTTTGAGTACGTTGAAGCTATCAAAATATTAACGTTGGCGGAGGAACGATGTTATCACTGAATGTATCATCTCTGCTTACCAACTTATCTGTGGCAAAAACAATAAACTATCTTTGCGATGTTATTCCTGAAACGAACTGCCCCATAGGCATGCCAGTGAAAATGTCAAAAGAACCACTGTCGCGTTGCACACACAATGTCCAGTTTCCATGAAATAGTCAACTATATGACTGATAGATGGCGCGGCAATGGGATCCCATTTTGGACAGTTCCTAGCAAATTTTTTATGGACAAAGTCGAGAAAACACTATTACAAGATGCCATTTATGATCTCGTCTTCCACGGTCGGTACGTGGACGATATCTTCTGCCTGGCAGATGGTACCACCGATACCGAGGAGCTTGTCCAAAAGTTCAACAGTGCGCACCTTGTCTCTAAAGTTCACTAAAGAGTCCGAGACAGATAACAAAATTGCGTTTCTCGATGTCCTTTTACACAGGCAAATGGATGGGTCTATCCAGCGCAGGATGTTTTGAAAGAAAAACTGGACGGGACAATACACTAATTTCCACAGTTTTGTTCCGCTCATCATCAAGCGAAATCTAGTGCAGGGCTTGGTGGATAGAGTGAGGCGCATCTGCCTACCTGAAGCTTTTGAGGCAGAGCTCCAACAACTGCGAAACACACTCGCAAGAACGGGTACCCAGATAGATTTTTCCTCCGGCTTATTGGGAACGCATTGCAAAGCCCACTAATGCGACTGCAGAAAAGAAATACTGCCTTTTGCAGGAGACAAAGCAAGCGAACTAGTCAGACGGAGCTTAACATCAACTATCACGAGAGCATTCCCCGTGGAAAATTTACACGTATGTTTCACAAACTCTCCCCTAAAACGTTTGGGAGGTAAGGACAGACTACCGTTGGAGGCCACATAAATGTGCATCTACTCATTCACTTGCTCCTGTGGAGCGGGATACATCGGCCGTACAACGAGACGCCTGGTAAAGAGGGCGCGTGAACATATGCCCTCCTGGCTAGACAGAGGTGAAGCCCGATCGATTTCGAGTTCTATTCTCGCACATTTAGTCGATGCGACTAACCGAGTCGATGCCAAGGACAAAGTTCAGGTTGTCTACCGGACATCAACAAGCTTTTCTAAAGGCCTACGCCAACGGATACTAGCAACGGCCGAGGCAGTGGTTATATGGATAGCGCAGAAAACCTTGACAAACGCTCTCCACCATCACCAACGCCAACCTAAAGTGATGATGACATACCGCCTCAAAGTCCTAGTGACAGTGATAGGTATTCTGTGTACTAAATCCAAGAACATCACTCAAA